AGGAAAATAATTTCCTTTCACCATTTTTATTTTATATTTTTTCTATTTACTCGCACAGAAGGGAATGGTGCGAGTGGTGTTGATGGTGGTGCTGGTCGTCGCGGTGGTCCTGGGCGTGTGCAGCAGCGCTGTGGTTGATGATGAGGCCCGGCCACAGGTTGGGCTGGTATGTAGACGCTGCGGGATGGAGCTGGTGAGCGGACCCGCGGACGTGTTGGAGGTGGCCAGCGGGGCTGCGGTGGGTGCCTACTGTGCCGCGCTCTTTGGGAACGGGACTGCCACGGACGCTCGAGGCGAAGAGGTGGGTGAGGACCACGACAACGAAGACGAAGAGAAAGACGAAGACAAAGGGAAGCAGCTGGTGCAGCACTTTGTCAACCCGCAAGGCCATACCTTCGAAGTCATCACCGCGCGATGGAAGGACCTCTACATGCATACCGACCAAGCCTTCTCCCAGGACTCCTGGTTCGAGTACGCCCGTCCGTCCTCCATCCACCCGCACAAACTGTCTCTAATCACATGTGCCGTGGTGCGTGCGCGTGTGTAGAGGGTACGCGTGGAAGTTTGCGCACTGCCAGCGATGTGGGACGCAGGTGGGCTGGATTTTCGTGCCTGAGGGCCTGCTCGAACACGAGGAACATGGTATGGCTGCCTGATCTTCGGTTGATGGGGTGTCGTTGGCGCATTGGGCTTATCGTGTTGGTCCCGCGCAGACCACGACGCCGGAGTGCTGGGCGGCTTTGACGCAGCGCAGGAGGACTTCGTGGGCCTCTCTCTGCACTCCCTAAACACTGGTCCGTCACCACCACTCTTGTCAGTGATGGTCCTGGTTGTGTCGTTCTCAGCCTTTTGTGATCTCGACTGTGCGGGTCGCAGCCCAAGGCATTGTGCAGGACAAGCCCACAGTGCAGGTCGGGTCCCTAACGAGACAGAATCACTCCCGAACACGAGCGTGGATGTAACATTTTGGCTATCGATCGACGATCACAGTGCATCTATCCTCCTGGGTAGAGCGGCTTCAGCGTTTGCCTCCCCTTCGGCCAAAGTGATGACCTGGCGAAGCGTAGGCGTCTGTGCAGGAGTCCGTTGCAATTGTGTGCACCTGCGGCGAGCGAGTCATTCACAACAATCACGAGGTGTGTCAGACAAGTTGCATTTTGTCATTTGTCTGATTTGTTTGTTCAATCTCGCAGGGCGCACGCACCTCCTCTCCTCCCAACAGCCTGAGGACTCGTGACTTGACGTCCAGTGTGAGGATCTCGCTGTTCTTGAACCGTCCTCCCTGTTGGCCACAATGCGACACCCCGCCCTACTGATCAGCCATTGCCCTCGCTTGGTACAAAAAACGAAGGGCGCTCGCACGGTGAAGAGAATCTCCTTGGCCATGCGCTCATCGCAGGTGACCGTTGACTGGTGTTCGCGCCAGAACGTGTTCCACCACGGCGGTACCACCCGCTCCTCCCCTGTCGTCGCTTCCTGACAATCCCACATATAATAATTGATATTTTATTTAAAATTTAATAAAATGAAATGAAAAGATTCGTGGAAGTGGGTGGGAGAGGTACTGAAGGGGGCGGGGTAGAGGGGGCGGAGACACGAAGGGGCGAAGCTTCAGTCTCCCTGGTCGGGTTGGGCGAGTCGCACATGGCGCACTGCTGGCTGCTGGCTGCGTTCGCGAAAGTGCAGGTCGCACAGGCCCACTCGGCAGTCGCTGGCGGGGGAGCATGGACGGGGGTGGTGCCTCCCGATAGCAGCTCCGTCGCCGCCTGGTCGACGTTGCCGCGGTGGTACGCCAGCGTCTGGCGCAGGCGGTCCTCGTTGAATTGGGGGAACATGCCCTTCAGCAACGCCACGTCCGCCTCCTTTGTCGTCACGGCCATCGTCACGGCCGTCTTGTGGCAACAAGAGTCGAGCAGTTAAAAACAAAATTTAAGTTTGGGGGAGGGCTCTAAAAAAATGGTCGGCATTTTCGGCACGGACCACGTTTTGGTTCTCCATCTTTCCTTGGTAGGTCACAGATCTATCTGCGTTCTTGATTCTTGATTTTGCTGCTGCATCAGCAAAGGAACTTCGACAGAGGACTGTAATATATAGCAGTCAAGACATATGGAGGAGGAAAAGGTGGTGGTGGCGAAGCGCACGGGGCAGGTGCTCTACAAGGGGACCATTCTCAAGGCCGACCACTGGCTGGGCGGCCACCAAAAGAGCCCCGTCCCCTTCCGCCTCTCTGGCGCCCCCAACTTTCGCACCGTACGCCTCCTTTATTGAAACGAAATAAATAAAATAATAATAAAATGTGATAATTGATAATAACGAAGCAACTCTTGCCTTTTATTTATTTATGTATTTATTCGTTGTGTAGGTGCCGGCGCTGCCGGTGTCGGGTGTGGCGCAGCCGTCGCTGTTTGGCATCCGCGCGGTGCTCAACCGGGTGTTCGGGCGCCCAAACCGGATCGAGCAGGTGGTGTGGTGTAACCTGCGCGAGGAGCCCGTGATCTACATCAACGCCCGCCCGTTCGTGTTGCGCGAGTTCGACCACCCATTCAGCAATCTCACCGCTTACAAAGGTCGCTCGCCACCTCTTCGCGAGTTGCGTGTCGTGTGTCGTGTGTCGTCGTGCGTCGTGTGCGGTCTTGCTAAAGTAACTATGGCAGGCATGAGCTTGAGCAATCTGGAGGACATGGAGGAACGGCTGAAGGCTGACATCCTAGCCGAAGCCTCGCGCTATCAGGGCAACCTCCTTATTCACGACGAGCTGGACGACGAGGTACTGACTCGTTTATAACTTTTTGGGGCAGCGACCGCAATCTTGCACAACGGCCCTGACGTCGTGGTGCGGTGGTTCGCAGTGTGCGTGCCCCATGTGGGAGGCCATCTCGTCCGAGAGTGTCATGACGCCCAGGGAGGTCTTCTTCACTCTCCAGAACGAAGGATACCGAGTACGTGCGCCACACGCACCACCACAAAGGTAAAAAACTGACTAACATCTGCACAGGTGAGCTACTGGCGTATCCCCATGAACGCCGAACACTTTGCCAGCCACGAAGCCATCGACACGTTCGTGGATATGGTCAAGTCGATCGATGACCAGACCCACTTCGTTTTCAACTGCCAGATGGGTAAGATTCGCAAGTCGCGCGCGCGCGCGCGTGTGTGTGTGCAACAGCCGTTGGCGCATAACTTGAATGCCAACACCATAACATTGGGCTGCGCAGGGAGAGGCAGGTCGACCATGTGCACGGTGATGGCCTCCCTGATGTACATGTGGTGTCGGCTCGTCAACAAGCCACTGGCCTATCGGGCGGAAGACGACACCGAACACGAGGCGAAGCTGGAGGAGGACATCCTCACCAGCGGAGAGAAGAAAGCGCGCGTTCGCAAGA